TCCAGCTATGTAACTATATATGGGAACGTGTGTGTGTGTGTGTGTGTGTGTGTGTGTGTGTGACGTCACACACACACGTTCACTGTCACATGCTCCCCTACAGCCAACCCAGAAACATCTTAGGCTATTTAAACCTTTTTTCTTAATTTCTCTGTGCCCTGTCTTGGTTCCCATTCTGGTTATCTGAGAGCGTGTTTCTGGTATTGTTTCTTGTGTATTTTGACGTTTGGCTTTCTTACTGACTATTCTGATCTCTGTATCTCTTGAACTTTGGCTTAGCTCCTGACTTCTATATTCCTTGACCTTTGGCTTACATACCATTTACGTAATATCTGTATTCTTTTTTTTTTATTATAAATTCTTTATTTTTAACGTTTTCCATTACATTACATTTCATTCCATGCCCATTTTTGGAGGGGGGAGTAGGTACAGAAGAGAAAAAGGGAGGGGGAAGGGGTATCAGTTGGTGATACAGTTCGTCTTTTAGTGAGCATCTAGCAAGCATTTTCAAGTCGTCTGTAGTTGCCCAGTGTTTGGTGTGCCGAGCGTGTCACGGGTGTGGTCTTGGTAAGTTATTTTGTTTTTTTTGGTTTTTTTGGTTTTTTTTGGGGGGGGGGGTTTGCAGTGGGGAGAGGGAGGGGAAGGGTCCCGGGTACTCAGCTATTTACATTCTGCGGTGGGTCTGTGTTTATGCCGCCCGTCCAGTTCCAGTTGTGTGATCTCGAGGTGTGTGGTGCTAGTTCTCCTGATGGCCGGGTGGGCCCTGGGTTTTTCCTAAGTGGTGTGTTGCTGGCCTCTCGATACGTGAGGCGGCCACTTGAGAACGGATTGTGCTGTAGCTTGTTCTTATGGGCGGGGGATTGCGTGCTTAGACCAGGTGTTGGCATATCGGACCCGGGGGGGTGGGAGTGCGGGGGGTGGTGGTTTTGCTAGGATGTGGTGGTGTGAGGGGGGGTGGGTTCTCTCTGTATTTACACTCCTAGCCTCTGCTGGGTTTCGACTGCTTGGTCGGGGGTTAGGAGCAGGGGCCAGTATTCCCCGGGGTTGAGAGCTGTCACTGTTCGTGGTGTATCGCATCAGGTTGTGGTTTAGGGCCACAGGGGTATGGATTGAAGTCGTGTCAGTCCTGCTGTTTGTGCGGTGAGGCTGCACATTGGCCGGGTCCTGCTGTCCTGATGTGCTGTATCTAGACCGGTGTTTGTTTTGGTCGTTGTGTGTCCTGGCGGTCTGTCTCAACCCCCGAGGTGGTGTTAGTCTGTGAGGTAGGATCAGGGATCTAGCGTAATGGTGAGTCCTGTCTCCTCCCCTCCTTGTCCGGGCTTTCGTCCATATTCAACGTCATGGGAGGGTGAGGTTGGAGGGGGATGTGGGTTGTTACCTCCCCTGTCGTCCGCCCGCGCTCGCCGGGGCCCCATTGGGGGGGGGCGGGTTGTTGGGTTGGTGGCTTTCGGAGGTACGACAAATTATACGCCACATTTCTTAATGAGACACCACTGCTGGACATCTGTAGAGCTCACCACCCAGGAGACAAAGATTTCACTTTTTACTCCCACACACATCGGTCGTACTCCCGCATTGACTGCTTCCTCATTTCACTGGCAGTCCAACCCTGGACCACTCACACGCACATAGGAAATATAGTATGGTCAGACCACACGGAGATCACGCTGGACATACAAATCCCACGACTAGCCCGTCCTTGGCGCTGGCGACTCAACCCGTGGATCCTCTGGGACAAGGCGACGGTACACGCCATCACAGACCAACTCAAAACTTACTTTGAAATCAACGCCACAGGCGACATGGCCCCGGCGACAGTGTGGGCAGCCCACATAGCAATGACACTGATACCAGGAGGTACGTGTTGAGACGGTTGGCCAATGCTTTGGTGAGAATTTTTAAGTCAGTATTCAGGAGAGAAATTGGTCGGTAGTGCCCTGGATCCAGTTGGTCCTTCCCTGGCTTGGGCAGGAGACAGATGTCTGCAGCAAGCATGTCCAGGGGGAGGTGTTGGCCCTGTAGAAGAGAGTTGAAGGTGTTGCACAGGTGTGGTATTAGTATTGCCTGAAACGTTTTATAGTAGAGGGCTGTGAAGCCATCTGGGCCTGGGCTTTTCATGGGTTTTAGCGTTTTGAGGAAGTGGGCGAGTTCTTCTCCCTCTATGGGCGCTTCCAACAGGGTCTGTGCCTGTGTGGGTAGAGTGGGTAGGTTGAGGGATTGCAGAAAGTCGGCGATATGCACCTGTTGGGTAGTGTCTCCCGTGGGATTTGGTGTGGTTGTATAGATTGGTATAGTATTGTAGAAATTCGTGAGCTATATCGTCTGGGTGGTTCGTGACCTCTCCCTTGCTGGTTCTGATTTTGGAGATTTTTTTGTTGTCCTGCTGTTTTTTGAGGCAGTTTGCCAGAAGGGAGTCCGCTTTGTTCCCTTTTTCGTAGAAGCGTTGCTTGGTCCACATGAGGTTTCGTGCCACATCTGCCGAGGAAAGGCGTTTGAGGAGTTCATGTGTGGTAGTAATCCGTGTGAGCAGCGCGTCTGAAGGGTTTTGTTTTGTGTTGTGTTTCGAGCTCCTTTAAGGTGGCTAGTGCTTCCGTGAGATCCTTGAGGCGCTGTTTTTTGAGTGCTGTAGCGATTGCTATTAGCTGGCCCATATTGTCGCTTTGTGGGCTGCCCACATTGTCGCCGGGGCCATGTCGCCTGTGGCGTTGATTTCAAAGTAAGTTTTGAGTTGGTCTGTGATGGCGTGTACCGTCGCCTTGTCCCAGAGGATCCTCGGGTTGAGTCGCCAGCGCCAAGGACGGGCCAGTCGCGGGATTTGTATGTCCAGCGTGATCTCCACGTGGTCTGACCATACTATATTTCCTATGTGCGTGTGAGTGGTCCAGGGTTGGACTGCCGGTGAAATGAGGAAGCAGTCAATGCGGGAGTACGACCGACGTGTGTGGGAGTAAAAAGTGAAATCTTTGTCTGCCGGGTGGTGAGCTCTCCAGATGTCCAGCAGTGGTGTCTCATTAAGAAATGTGGTGTATAATTTGTCATTCCTCGTTGGGACTGGTGTCGTGTCGGTGTGCGTCCTGCGGTCAATGGCGGGTGTGTGTGACGCGTTGAGGTCCCTTCCGATGATTAGATGTTTGGCTGAGATGCTATCGAGGTGTGACTTGAAGGTGCCCCAAAAAGTGGTATCTGGGGTGGTCGGCGCGTATACAGAGCATACTGTTAGCGGCGTGGTGCCTATGTGTCCAGAGATGAGCAGATATCTCCCGTTTGGGTCTTGGAGCATGCTGATGTCTTCGAGCGGGCTGGAGTTGCCACTCCTTTTTTTTTGGGATCCGGGGAGTTGGCATAAAAGTGTCTTCTGAAGTGTCTGTTAGTTAGTGGAAAGCATTTTTGGTCGGTGAAGTGGGTTTTCTGGAGCAGAATTATGTCCGCCCCTGTGCGGTTGGCCCAGCGGAGTAGCCCATGTCGCTTGCCTGGGGAGTGTAGACCCTTCACATTGAGGGATGTTAGTCGGATCCTTCTATTGGAAGATGCCATAATGCGTGATGTCCATGGGGGTGAGGTGTACTCGGACAGGGCCGTGTGGGGCTCGGCTCCGGGAGTATGGTGAGTGGGAGCGGACGATCAGGTGGGGGTGAATATGGTGATTTTATGGGTTGTGGGTCCCGGCGTGCGCGGGCGCGGCGGACCAGGGGGAACAGTTGTCGGGGGTAGGTCTGGTTCGAACTGGGCTTATCGATCTGGCCAGCGGTCAGGTAGACGGGGGGGCTTGGGCTCCTGTCCTCGTCGTGGAGTTGGGAGTGTCGAGTCCTGGGAGAGGGGTGTTGGCAAGTCGTGGCAGGTCCTGCCGTCGGCCTGCCCGTGTCTGGGCACTATTGGCTGAGCATTATGGTGGGGGCCGGGGGGGAAAGGGCGGGGGGGATAGGGGGCGCGGGTCTGGGTCCATAGTGGCTTACTACTGCCATATGTTATGTAGTGGGGGTCTCAGGGTTGGCTGGGGAGGGATAAGTGTCTTCCGGGTAAGGTGATTGTCGTGCACCTGCCCAGTGGCGTTTAGAGGGTGAAGGTGCTGCCTTCGATGGTGTGTAACATGGAGGTTGAACCACGGCAAATTTGCACCAACATGTGCTTAACCGTGTGATAACTTCATTAATAATTGTTGTATAATAATCAAAGAACACTCATTTCACGAACTAGGGTGTTTTGTTGTGCGGGAGCAATCAGCGAGACACTGCGCTTGTCAAGTGGTCTTTCTGGTGAGGCAGTGGTGTGTGAGGCTAGTCGGTTGGCTGCTTCATCCCCACTGAGCGTTTATCTGTAAGTGCTTTCCAGCAGTAGCTTTCTGCCTATCTGTAATGCTGCTCTGTAGTGCCCCCTAGCTACCGTCGGGCCGTTGGTGGTATCAGTGTCATTGCTATGGTGCCTATGCGGCTAGTGCTGGGCTCGCCGAATGTGCCTGTGCTGTGGGAACCGCTGTATCCGCCCGCCCCTATGGTTGCTTCTTTATGTCCGCCCTGCGACCTGTTTGTTGCGTTGTCGTTGTTTCATCAAGTGTGTGGTCGTGTGTGAGCGGATAAGTGACCTCAATGGTCGGGTGATTGGTTGTGCTGTGCCCTGCATGCGGGATGTGCGTATGGGGTTTGTATGTGGTTCCACAAGTGTCCCCTGTGGTGCGTTAGGGCTGGGCCGGGTGAGGCGGGTCTGGTCTTCCCGTGGCTAGACTGGGCTGAGCTCTGCATGGTGGTTAGTGGTGTGAAGCGTATTGGGGCGTATTGGGGCGGGGGGGCGTATTCGGGCGGGGGGGCCCACGGTCGGCGGCCCCGGGGGTATAGTGTATTTGTTGCCGGACCGCTCGTGGCTCCCCGAATGGGTCCGATGCTGAGCCCGTGGGCCCGGCGGGGGGGGGCCCCCCGGTGCCCCCCAGGGCGGTCCCAAGTTGGATAGGCTGGGACCGTGGTGGGCCACATGCGCGGACCCCTCTGTTGATCCGGTGAGGTGTAGGGTCAGGTGGGATTCGCACCCGTGGAAGGGTGAGGCCGCGGGACACCCTGGGAGGCCCGGACCCTGTCAGATGCAGGCTGTGTGTGAGGTGGTTGTGTAGCCCATGAGGTGGCACGTAACCCCAGCACCATGTACGTTGGTGTGCTTGGGGTGAGCCCTGTGTTCCTGCCGCCCCCATCACCCCACCGTTTTCTGTCCAGCTCGTCCGCGACTGTTTTGCCGAAGTCGGCGATGAACCCCTGCATGTCCCGCCGGGTTAGTGGTGCCTCCGATTGATCCGGGGCCGATTGGCTGCCCATCTCCGCGTCAGAATCGGGCGGTGAGTGTTCGGAAGATGGCGCCCGGGCCTGCTCGCCTCTCTGTCGGAAGATAGGTGCGACGGTGGAGTTGCGGGTTTTTTTCCCTCCGCCCATTGGGGGGGTGAGTGGGGGTGTGAGGATGGGTACTGGGGGTTCTGGGGGGGCTCAGGTGCTCTTGATGGCTAAAGATTGAGGCTAGGCCTTGGCAGAGCTCAGGGATTAAGCTGCCATTTCCTTGCACGGTTAGGCTCCGCCTCCAATATCTGTATTCTTGACCTCAGCCTGTCTTGTACTTTTCTTTTTATATGTTAAATCCGGCCATTCTAAGGCCCGGTAATACGCCTTAGGGTTTTCTTTATGTTTACTTAAGTTCTCCGTGTTAGGCATATTAGCATATCCCAACAAATTTGGTCATCTCCGTGTGTCATTGAAGGGTGTCTGGATCTTAAGCCATGAGTAGAATATCGTCTAGGTAGACTGTGGATCGAATACCTTGAGACCGGAGAAGTGCCATAACAGGTTTCATCAGTTTGGTGAAACACCAAAGGGCGGAAGAGAGTCCAAAAAGGAGGCAAGTGAATTGCCAGAGGCCTTGTTGCTAGAGAAAATGTAGAAAGTGACAGTGTGAGGCAGTCACTGGGACGGTAAGATATGCGTCTCTTAGATCGAAGCGGGAGAACCAATCTCCCTTGCAGAGAAGGTCGTGAAGCATGTGTATGCCCTCCAATTTTTTATAATTCTTTATTTTTGTTGTGCATTTTGTGAGATACATTTAATCCTGCAGTGCCGCAACAGCAGCAACAAGCGCGGTAACATAAAATTGTAAATCCATACATGGCAAGCGACAGTTCTGCACAATTTTTGAAGTATTAAAAGTAAACAGGCTATAAAGACATATGTAGGTCAGAGTGTTACTAAGAGATATTGTTGATCGACAAGTTAAGTTGAGGTATACAGTAGAGTATTACTGAACACGCTTACATACCATATGTTAGTCGTAGTAATATAGTAATGATATACAAGCAATATCTTTATACTGAAAGTAGGATTAAGTTAGTCAAATATTTTAACGCAAGGTATAAAGTAAGTTAGTCGAGAGAACAGTAGAGGTAGGCTAAACTAGAGTGGATACCTTTGAGTCAAGCTATATCATCTGACAATGGGATTAGCAGTAACAATACGTAGGTAATCTCGCGTTATGAGCAGAATAGAGAGGTTTTGACCTTAGTGTGTGCTTTAGTCGTTATAGTGTGAGTATGCGTACGTGTGGGGCAGTGTGGTGGTCTAGCAATTTGAGGAAAATTGAAGCAGTGAGGCTTAAGCTGAGTAATGAAAACCGAAGTGAGCGCTGATGACTGCATTACTGTGTGTACTTATTGGGTGTAATATAAGGCAGCTGTGCAGTCAGATGTGGGTTTAAACTTCTATTTATTGGCTGCTGTTTCAGTGAATAAGAGCTGAGCTTTGAGGCGGGGGGGAGTTAGAGCCGTTGTAGCAAGACCGGCCGGTCTGCATGAGAAGGTTTCGTATGAGGGAGGAAATTCAACTTGTTAAAAGTAAAAGAACGTAACAGAAACTGGAGTGGAGACTATTTTGTTCCAGGGATTCTCAGTGGGTGAGAGATCAAAGTCCTTCAGGTCGTCACTGCTGCGTATGGTTCAGGCATGGCTTTTAGAGGTACGAAAGGGGTGATTCGAGCTGGATCCCAAGTGTGTGGGCGATGTCTCGCCTCTGCTTGCTTATTCTGATCGAGGGAGTCAATCAGAAGACCTAGAGAGTGTACCAGGGCTGTGGCCTCCCGCAGTTCTTGAATATGGTGAGTAGTTTCCCCATAAAGACCAGAAGTGTATGGGAGAGGCACCATTGGTACCGCAGGTTGTGCTGCTGTAGGATTAAGGTGAGTGGTGTAAGGGATTTGCACCAGGCCAGAGTGCTTCCTGAGAGGTCGGCATAGAAGGTAAGAGATTGAGATTCAAACTGATAAGGAGTTTTACCTTTCCGGGCATTGAGGACTGTGGATTTGTCGGACCCATTTCTGAATTGGACCACCAGGTCCTTAGATGCCAAGGCCGGCACTCTGGGAGGTCTGAGTATGCAAAGTAGGCCTTTTAGTTGTATTACCCTGGCCTGTTTTGGAGGTAGCAGGGTCTCCAATAAGTGCCTCATGAAGTGTGGCAATTCAGCTAGAAGCTCTTTGAGCACTGCTCTGGTGACTGGCAAGTTTTCAGGGTTGTCAGGGCTGCGATGTGGTATTGCCACTGATGGCAGAATTTGTTCCCCCACTCCGCCGATGAAGTCATCCGAGAAATCGGATCCACAGTCTGAGAGGTCGGCCATTTTGGGCCCTGTTGCACCCTGCGCCTGCCGGCATGTCTCCAATTGTTAGTCCCAGGCTCGGCTTGTCAGACTTTTGCTTTTTATTTTTTCGTCCCATACTGTTCTGACTTCGTGCAGGGACCTCCTCAGCCACGATGGGTGCAGGTAAAGAGATTGAAAAGTTGATATTTTGTGCCGGAGTTCTCAGGTCTTGCTCTTGTAGTCAGGTTCCACCCCCTCCCATGCCCTACATTTTGAAGTGGCGATATACCACAAATTGGTTTAAATTGTGTGACGAAACCAATCTCGGCACTGTGCATTGGAGGAGAAACATAGAAACATAGAATGTGACAGCAGATAAGAACCATTCGGCCCAACTAGTCTGCCCAATTTTCTAAATACTTTCATTAGTCCCTAGCCTTATCTTATAGTTAGGATAGCCTTATGCCTATCCCACGCATGCTTAAACTCCTTTACTGTGTTAACCTCTACCACTTCAGCTGGAAGGCTATTCCATGCATCCACTACCCTCTCAGTAAAGTAATACTTCCTGATATTATTTTTAAACCTTTGTTCCTCTAATTTAAGACTATGTCCTCTTGTTGTGATAGTTTTTCTTCTTTTAAATATAGTCTCCTCCTTTACTGTGTTGATTCCCTTTATATGTTTAAATGTTTATATCATATCCCCCCTGTCTCGTCTTTCCGCCAAGCTGTACATGTTAAGATCCTTTAACCTCTCCTGGTACGTTTTATCCTGCGATCCATGAACCAGTTTAGTAGCCCTTCTCTGAACTCTCTCTAAGGTATCAATTTCCTTCTGAAGATACGGTCTTCTGGAAGTGTTGGGCAGGAAAACTGACCCTAAAAAGTGGAGACAGAGGAGTTATCTATCTATTACGGTGTCCATGTGGGAAACAGTATATAGGTAGAACGAAAAGAAAATTTAAGACCCGGCTCAGTGAACACATAAGAAATATCAGAAGAGGTTTTCAAAATCATAACCTTTCACAACATTTTAGTATGAAACACTCTAACGATCCTACCAATCTGGAATTTCTGGCCATTGAAAAAGTAGATACCCATTGGAGAGGAGGAGATCTTGAAAAAGAATTGGATAAAACAGAAGCCAGATGGATTTTTAAATTAGATACTTTGGAACCTAAAGGTCTCAATATAGATTTTGAACTTAACGCCTTTTTATAATCAATATTTTTTATTATTATCGTTTATACTTTTTTATATCACTTTTACATTTAGGATGGGACATCTAACTCCCTCCTTCATGATGTATCGCATTGAAAGGTAGTAAGAATCCTTCTATAAACTAAGCTATTCCTCTCCATCAATGTACAATATTTTCTGTGTGTTTTTCCTTAAGTTATGGAAGCTATACTACTTACTCTTTCTAAGTTTAGATCTAAATTTGCTAGGTTATGTCAACAGTAGTTTCTTCTTTTCTACCCTCTTTTCTATGTTTTTTTACCACTGGTATTATACTTCCTATTATTTTTCATTCTCTATTTCTATTTTTATTTTTATTTTATTTTCATATTTATTTTTATATTTATTTTTAGTTTCTTTATCTTTATTTTTTATTTTTTATTTTATTTATTTTTATTTTTACCCTTATTTTTATTTATTTTTATTTTCATTTTCATTTCTATTTATTTTTATATTTATTTTTATATTTATTTTTATTTCTGTTTCTAGTTCTATTTTTATTTTTATTTATTTATGTTTATTTTTATTTTTATTCTATTTATTTTTTGGGGTTCTCAATACTTACCCTTCTCTATACTTTTTTTTTTCGTTTTTGCTCTATTGCCTCAATATCTAAATTGCATTACCGGCTATTTCTATTCTGTATACCCCAATTCTTTCAATGTTTAGTCTATGAGCCCTCTTTCTATGTATATGTATTATCATTTCCAAATTTCCTTCCCTTGTTTTTGGGCACCCAGGATAATTGAAATCGGATTTTTAATCTGGACTAGAAACCCAGATAAGCGCTTTTTATATTTGAATCTTATTCCACCTTTGAGTGCATCTTTAGATATTTTTACTTTGTACATTTAATGCTGGAATCGATCTAGAAGCATGTTACCACTTTCAGTAACTAAATATGGTACAATGTCCAATATGTTCCAATTATGGCTTTTATGTTATTTTATATTTCCCTTGTTAAAAAAATTTTATGTCAAAACATTTTTTATGTCAATGTATTTTTTATGCCAATATATTTTTGTATTTTTATGTGTACACACTCTGATATACTTTTATTGTTCAGAAGAAATCTTTTATTGTCTATAAGAAAGCCTTTAATATAGCATGCAAATAATTGATGGTGAATAGATCCAATGAGTATATATACGAGACAGCAACATGAGAAGTCCATTCGCCTCTGAAGAAGTGACGGTGTATGGTCACGAAACGCGTAAGGATTTTTTTTGGCAATTGCCGTATTCTGACCCAGCTACCGAGCAACCGTGGAGCGCATATCGGGCGCACTGAGTGGAACGCACGCGAGAGGTGGCTTACCTCTCCAAACACAAGAACATCAGCTCACCGGCCGGAGAAAGCTTACCTCAGAGTGCTGAACATCTTCCGAATACCATTCCAATAAGGACTCATTTGCTGGGACTTTACACTTCTAAATTGTAAGCGTATCTTATCCTATTTTAACTGCATTTTCAATAAATATGGTATTTGAACATAAACCTTCTGGACTTTCTCCATATTACTATTGATCATTGAAGATCTTCACACTATATACCTGCATAGGTGGTATATTAGTAA